GAAGGAAGGAAGGAAGGAAGGAAGGAAGGAAGGAAGGAAGGAAGGACAAACCAAATAATTCCTGAGTCCTTTCTGCCCCAGGGCATCAACTTTACCTGGATTTTAATTCTTCTTCTTTTTTTTGGGGGGGGGAGGGGGTCAGTCATGGGGCTTGAACTCTGGGCTTGAGCGCTGTCCCTCAGCTCTTCAGCTCAAGGCTAGTGCTCTACCACTTTAGCCACAGTGCCACTTCCAGTTTTCTGCCTGGGCTGGCTTTGAACCGTGATTCTCAGATCTCAGCCTCCTGAGTAGCTAGGATTAAAGGTGTGAGCTACCAGCACCTAGCTAGATTTTAATTCTTTAAATGAAATTTTTTTAATTCTTTAAAAGAATTTTTATTTTTTAAAACATTTTTAATTATTTAAAAAGAAGTTGCAAAATAAAGCAGCTTCTGTGACTATTAATTGTAAATCACTGGGTTAAGTGTTCTTACCTTCAATATTAACTCAGAAATCTAGTACAAAGGATGTAGAAATTATTTTCAATTTACAGATGAAAAACTTATCTCAATAGGTTAATGAACCAAAGATCACACAACTATCAGGATAAGGAGCTAGCAAGCTGTCAGAGATGAACAGATGTTGGTCACTCAGGTCTGCTCTCTTTTTCCTATAAGTAAGAGAAAATTTCAGTCGGGTGGATTTCCCTTCCAGGGCAGTATTTGCTGTCTTATTTGCAGTTTTGAGTGGCCATAAAAGTACGTTCTGGCCTGTTGTCTAAGTAGGCAAGCGGAATATGTAGGCAAGGAGAATATGTTCGCCACTTTAATTGTATCTATCAGGGAACATGCCAGGCCCAGTAACAGAATGGAAGTTGAATGTGGAATCATTCCATCATCCCAGTCCACCATTTGGACCTTTATAGAAGTGAAGTTATTTCTTACTTCTTGTACAAACCATTGCTACTTGAGACAGTCTATGCACTAACTCATACAGAAGGCATAATGGAAATATGGACTTAAAATTCTTCCAAAATACTGTTTACTAGCCAACACTTTTTAGGAAACCTTAGTAACTTTGATCAGTACTAAACACAATGTCTCCTCCCAGTTGGTTTTTTTTTTGTCAGTTTTCCTACAAACTTCCTTGCAACTTGTATCTCAAACTATCAATCTCCTGAACTTGTATTCCAGAGGTTTCACAAAACTCCCCAAATCCAAGAATTTACCTAGTTTTCTGACCCTTCCTTTCTTGAACTTTGCAGACACTTACTGTATGTCCAATGTAATCATTATCCCAAGGATACTGCCATTTGGGGGCATGTATTAATAGTTTACAATGCTAACTTAAACTACATTTTGTCCAGCAGATGCTTCCAGGCTTTTCCTATGCTCAAACCTTTCACAATTGGCATCCTGGTTTGATGCTCTGAAATAAGTAACCAGAAGGAAATGTACCTGATTATTTTTGAGATGTAAAATTTTCATTCAAAGGGAAAATAGCTATTGGGTTTGGAAGATTCAATTAGACTTCACAAAACTCTTCACATCAAGGAAGCAAATAGAAGAGAGAATTTCTTTAAAAAGAGGAAGAGCAAGAGCAAGAACATTTTTCCCAAGTAAAGAAAAATGAAAGTGCACTTTTACCTGCTTGGCGCGTTTTTTGATTTTCCCTCTGCACACTACCAGCTCTGGGTTTACAGAACCATTTCTAACTTTCTCAATAGAGCCATACTCATGCATCCCATCTGATGACAGTGGAGGATCCCTGGAGAGTTGCTGTGGGACAATATCTTTTGCAACATCTCTAAGAGAGGCTTCGGGGATGCTGCATAGATGCATAATAAGGCTCAGAGTGAGCATCAAGGCAGAGAAGAAGAACATGACCTGGAATTCTGTGCCCAGCAGTCTTCCCAGCTCCAGATGGGCCCAGTCTATGGCACCCAAGAGATAACCCAGGGCACCTCCAAAACCTGGAAAGGAAAGAAAAGCTATATTAGCCTGTTGGGAAGACCATCTTTCCTTTCTATCATGTACATACCCTCCTCCTTTAGTAGAAAAACATCCAGAGGGCAACAGGGGCAGCTAGAGATGACTGGAGAGGCAATACGGTGAGAGGCTGAGACACCGCCAGTCAGGCAATGGCCGCTCAGCCTGACTCTGGTATTTTCCCTTTGTGATCATGGACTTCCTCAGCTCTAATATGTGAAAATAGTAAGCAATCTGGTAAGCAACCTACCAGTAGGTTCACGATTAATGATGGAGTGCTTGGCATGGTGGCAGATGCACAGGATAGCTTAGTAAATGTGGCGGCATTTCCAAATTACACTATATGACTACTTTTTAACTTAAAATTCATGACCCAAAGAAAATTAATTTGGGGCCAGGCACAGTGGCTCATACCTGTAATCCCAGCTACTAAGGAGATAAAGATCAGGAGGATCTCACTTTGAGGCTAGTCAGGGCAAAAGAATTCCATCTCAACCAGTAAGCCAGGTATGGTGGTGAAGGGCTATGATTCCAGTTATATCTCAGACCATAGAGAGGAAGATTATATCCTGAAGCCAATTCTGGGAAAAATAGTAAACTTTACCTGAAAACTAACCTTCACACACCAGAAGATCAAAATGAAAACAAATCTTGAGTTCCTATAACCAAATCTGATACAACCGAACCCCAAGAACCAAACCTGACTGCAAGTTCCATGAATCATAATACTAGGAGTTATTTAAAATACTGGGAGAATAAATAGTACCCCACTTCCCTAGAAGGCAGTTAAAAATGGGAGGAGCAGGTATGTAACATCTACTTTCACTAACTTGTAATCAATGATATCCAGGACTGTGGACTGAACACTCAAAGAATCCAAAGGAGTTCTACAGAGTGTTTAGTTGATGGAATCGAGATAATGTGGTTTATTAATAGTTAATCATAGCAATCTTCTTATTCAGCAATGAAGGCTATACAGTTAAAGATATCAACGGGTCCAAAAGTTCCAGAGGAGAAAGGTACTTGAAGACGGTTCCTCAGCTTTAGTGGTTCCATGGTAGGAGATGGCAGGGAAAGAAAAGGGATGTGGATTGTCTGATTGTGATTTCTCCTTTTAAGCTTTCTCATCATGAGATCTTGGGCACCTCTCCTTTGAGACATAGGCGTTTTTTATAACAAAACTCTGAGGCTGTATACATAAAAACTAGTCTATATGGACTCTAGTAGCTAGAAAGTCCAAATGGTCTGATGTTTGTGTCTTGCAATGTACCTCCTGGCTTAGCACACAACATGGCAGAGAAACAGAAAGTGATACAGGTACATGAAGAAGGGACCAAGCACATGGAGAGAGCTATGTAATAACCCACTCCCCTTGGGAACCAGCAGCCCATGAGACCTAACCCATCCTATTAGAGTTATCATGAAGATAAAGTTTCCTTGACTTAACCACCCTCCAGTAGACTTCACGTATTCAAGGCTCCACCATCTCAACGTGGTCACACTGGAGACCAAGCTTCCAGCATATGAACCTTTGATACACAACATGATATCCTAACCATAGCAGTGATATATCTTCATGAGAATTCAGTGAGGATGCAAGTAAAGCACTACCACATACAAGGGCAGAATTGGATCAGCTTGAGTAATTTGGGAGTGGAATCCACGGGATTCTTTAAATACAAGATCATGTCATCTGCAAAGATGGAGAGTTTTACTTCATCTTTCCCTATTTAGAGCCCCTTTATGTTTGCATCTTGTCTTACTGCTGTAGCTAGGCATTCTAATACTAAATTCAGAGAAGTAGAGAGAGTGGACATCCTTGTCTCATTCCTGAGTTTAGAGGAAATGGCTTTAGTTTTTCACCAGTAAGTATAATGCTGGCTGTAGATTTGTCATATACAGCCTTTATTGTATTGAGGAATGTTCCATGGATTCCTAGTTTTTCCAGAGCCTTCATCATAAAGGGGTGTTGGATCTTGTCGAATGCTTTTTCTGCATCTATTGTGATAACCATGTGGTTCTCATCCTTGCTCTTGTTGATGTGATGAATTATATTAATTGATTTGCATATATTGATCCAGCTTTGCATCCTTGAAATGAATCTTGTTTGATCGTGGCGTATGATTTTTTTGATGAGTTGTTGAAGTCGATTGGCCAAAATTTTGTTGAGAGTTTTACATCAATGTTCATCAAAGAGATGGGTCTATAGTTCTCTTTCTTTGATGAGTCTCTGCCTGGTTTTGGGATGAGGGTTATGATGGCTTCATAGAAAGTTTGGTAGTGACCTTTCACTTTCAATTTCATTGAAGAGTTGGAGGAGTATTGGTGTGATTTCTGCTTTAAAGGCCTTGTAGAATTCTGCCGTAAATCCATCCAGTCCTGGGCTAGTATAAGTCAAGGACAAGCAGAAAAGGTCAAAAGCTATGTACATATGACCAATGAGAAGTACAAGTTGTCATGTCGAAAACAAACTTTACAACTTTGGTGGGGGTGGGGAGGATTCGGGGGGGGGCGGGGGGAGGCTGGGAAGGGATGGGAAGGGGAAACAAAGGAGGAGGCTACAATGCTTGATAAGAAATGTATTCATTATCTTGCCCATCTAATTATAACCCCTCTGTACAGTATTTTCACAATAAAAAATAAATAAAAATGTTTAAAAAAAGATGATGTTAAGTGAAATGAACCCCAAGATAGGGACACAACTTGTTTTCTCTCTCTTGCTATTGTTTTTAATGCATCTAAAATGTACTCTGTGATTTTTTTGTTTCTCTTGTATGTTCTTCCCCCACGGTATAACTCCTGTTTTCACTGTATGTTATGTCGGTGCCCTGCATCTTGTATATACATTTTTCTAATTAGGGGAGGGGAAGGGAAATAACAAAATGCTGAAACAAGGATACAGGATGACCCATTGTAACAATGAGATGTACAAGATACTATATTGAAAATGAACTTTAAAAATTGAGGGGGGAGGGCTGTTTAGGGAGATGAGGAGGGAAGGATGGTAGGCGAAAAACAAAGGAGGATGTAACAATGCTCAATAGGAAATGTACTCATTACCCTACTCATGAAACTGTAACCCCTCTGTACACTATTTTTACAATAAAAAACATTTTTTTAAATGGCAGAATTGGGACCCACTTCCGAGAAGAACTCTAACTCAGAATTCCCCAGAAACAGGAGACAACTGCCACTTAGACTTAGCTGAAAGGACTATTATTCATAATTAGAATTTGAACCAATTAAAATTAGAATTAGTATATCACCACTTGAGCTAAAACCTGAGTTGACTTCTTAACTTCAGTATCTCAAACTTGGGAAGAGTAAAAATGGCAACTGACTTAAAAAAAGTACTAATACCATTCTTAAACAATTCACCTTAAACCATAATGTTCACACCATCTCATAGGCTGTATTTTTTAAATACAGGTTCTGATTTGAAGGTTCAGGATGGGGCTTGAGACACTGTATTGTTTCAAATTCCCTGTGATACCAGGGCTACTCTTGGAGTGGCCAGAAGATAGGGGAGTTTCCAAAGGCCTACACTCCTCATCATGACATTTCTAGGGAATGGGACCTTACTATCATTGGAGAGATGACCAGCAACCTTCAACTGAGAATGATTTTCAGTCCTACAAAAACAAGTGGATTTGCAGACTTACATATGATTTATAGTAAGATTTTGTAGCGCTGTGGATAAATTACTCATCTGTTTTAATGGGCTTATTTTTAGCCTAGTGTTTTATCTTTTGTAAATCACATGCTTATATGCATACACACACACACACACACACACACACACACACACACACAGACACTCTAAGAGCTTGCTTCCTTGTCTTCTCCCATTAGTTCCTTCATTAATCATTATGTAAAAATCTTACCATATATCATTTTCTCTTAGGGAGAGGGAGAAATAGACAAAACTGTTTTGTTTGTCCCAAAGCTATGGTGGAAAGTAGCTACAAGATACAACAACAACATAAGATAATGTGTCTGGGTGACATAGTGCTCTAAGAGGGAGATTCTTCTAATACAATATTAAAACCCCAAGGAAACATTTAAGCCAGATTTATCGATACTTTCATCTATGCAAGGGCCAATAGAGGGCTGTAAGAATTCACTGACATCTTTCCTCTTTCCTTCCTCTGCTTAAAAGAAGGATTTTATCTTCCATGATAGTCTCCTCCAAACAAAGTTTCATCATCTTACCTGTAACAAAGGCTAATCATTTTATCATTTACTGCCTCTGACATCTGTATAGAAAACTGCATTTATCCTATTACCAAGATCAGATTCATTTGGGCATCTGGAAAGTCACCAAGCTACTGGGCACGCCAGAGCCAATGTCCAGAGGACATCTGCAGCCACATTAGCTAACAAGGTCTTATGAAGAAGGGCGAGTTAGTCCAGCTGGCTCTGAACACACCAAGCCAGGCTGTGTCATCAAACTCAGGCCAAGGCTAATGTCATGAGAACACATTTTGGCTTTAGCACACAGATGTCCTATTTCATAACGTATGGTACAAGTTCAACAATGGCTCATCCTAGAAGCCAAGTGGATTTAATCTGCAACAATAAGCAAGATGGAAACTGGAAATCTTTCAGGACCAAAAAATCCAGAAAACTAAGGAAAATAAAGAGAGCACCCCCAAGGTCTGTCTTTGTCCTTACCATGTATCCATATTGGCCTCTCTGTATAAAATATTTGACTTACAAGTTCAACCCCAATGATGACATAACTCAAGTAAAGAAAGCTCTCCAGCTCTCAAGGGCTGGAGGTGTAACTTAAGTGGTAAAGCAACTGCCAAACAAGTGGGAGGCCCTGAATTCAAACTAAAAAACAACAAACCAAAAACCACAAAAGAGAAAACACACATCCCCCCGCCTCAGCCATCCAGAAGCAGCATTTGTTAGTATGTGCTAGGGATATGGCTCAAGTGGTTGAATACCTGCCTGACAAGGGAAAGACCCTGAATTCAGT